ATGCCGTAGAATTATATATAATACCAGTTCCAAAAATCATATTGACTATAGAATGTATTGTTTATTTGTTAAAGAGATTGCAAAAGAAATTCATAACGTAGCGTTGTTAGGAGAGAAAAAAAGCAAGTTTCTTAATGTCATTTTAATTTGTTACTTTAATAACAGCGTTGTTGAAATTATAAAAAATTGTATAAAATGTCAATGTTCTGTAATGAATATGTCCTTCTCACGTAGTGTACTTATTTGCATTGTATATGTGCTATGAATTTGCATGTCTCACTGTGTATTTGTGTTGATATTTGCCTCTTTTTGTCATGTTAAAATAAAATAAGTGAATAAAAAAGAATTGGCATTAAATCAATGAATTTTCTATATCTAGAATTGGTATATCTAATATTACAAAATGTTAATCATGCCAAAAGCGTTTTGATATTTTGTTAGCTTGATAATGATGTTTTTTATTTATTTATAAAAACACATTGGATGGATGATGACAGTTATTTCTGAGACGCATGCACTCAAACAAATATCAAAGACAAATAATGACAATAGTTAGAGTGATTTATCTGGGCGTAACGATCATTTGTGGTAGTTTCGTTGAAATATAAAAGCTTGTTGTAGACAGAAATAATCAATCCTGCATTTGCACTGTTCTCACTGTTATATAAGCTCTGAAACAAAAACTTGTTTTTGCTCGTAGGAATGAAAATAAAAAGACTTATGCTCTGTTCATTGTGAGAAATTACAAAAAATTGAAGTAAATGTACAATTACACAAGGTTTAAAGTAAAAAATATAAGCCATATAGCCTCTCGTTTTTTTCATAAAGTATTTTTTTAAGTAAGTCTTTAAATTTTATCATTACTGCAAGAACAAACAGTCAATGCAGTAACGTTTAGATAGCACAATCATATACTACTTTCCCGTTAGAATATTATCCCAGAAAAGCCGGCCAAGCAGGTGTGATAAAATTGAAATCATTTATAATTGCAAAGTTTACATTCTAACCGATATTTCTTTGCTTGTACATGTAACTGACAATTCATGTTAATCATATGAACTCCTGAGCGGAATTGTAAAGTTATTGAAACAAATAACAATTTAGTAATTCTGAAAACTTAATGTGAAGAAAACAACAGCAAATTCAGAAATTATGAATCGATAAAGACATATTGTTGCTTTTGTCGGATTAGAAATATGATCTGAAATAGCTTTATCAAAAGTTGTTTTTTATACGAGTATAAGCGCGCTTGCCAGCGGCCTGTCAAACAAACAATTTGAAATTTATATAGTCATTTATTTAAATATCTATTCTTATTCTGTTCTTTTTAAACGTCTAGAAAATCTCGTTTCAATTAAAGAGATTTTAATATAATAAATATATATCAAATCTTAAGTAACCACTAAGCAAAGTGACAACTTTTAGGAAGACATATTAATCTGAGTCATACATCATTACTTATGTTATTCTTCTGATCATACCTGATACATGTTTTCATACTTTATTTTACCCGAAACATTTATTCAAAATACGACGATAATATAGTAACCACGGTATTATTTGTAATACTAGTCACGTTTACATCCTTCATTTAGGAAATCGACAAAAGACATACATGTGCAACACTTTAATCTTGACATGAAACGTTTAACAACGAATTCTGTATATTAATAACATTTATTTTATGCTTTTCATTGGATTACTGATTTATCCGTGAAATTTATATTTGGTAATTTCACAGTGAAAATTATCAAAATATAATTTCACTCTTTTCAATGACGAAACTACTTTTTTAAGATTTTCCCCATGTGGTACCTCAATTTTATTTTTGCTGACAATTCTGACAATGTCAGGCTGTTTAAAGAAAAAGCAAAGCTGAAATTGATAAATAACTTAAATGTCAAAAGTAATAAAAAGAAGAAAACTTACTTCTATTCATTCAAATTCCAATCACCAAATTTCGTCTCTAAATTTTTTTGTTTCATTTTTACAGTCTGAAAAATACATTCCTTCCCCATGCAAAACTGCTCTTGATGACATTTGGGCATATTAAAGTATCCTACGAGCAATAACTGCCGTATGCTTTATGAAAAATTGAAAAGCATTGACAGCCATCACTCGAAGAACAAGTAAAACAACCCAGCGTTCTTGAGCAAGTTTCCAAGTTTTCCATTTTCCTAGCTCCTTTTCTGAATGTTTTCACATCTGTCAACACTTATTTTTTGTCTGTTACAATCCTCAAATAAGTTTTCTTTCTTTTAAAAAGGTGTATGACTAACAAATCCAAATTATATCCCTCTGAATCTTACACAATTATTTTCCTCCCATGAAATACACAACTTTAAAAAATGGCTGCCGCTTACAATTTACAAAGCCAGGTCTAATAGAATTTCGCAGTAAGAAACAGAAATATGGATTGATGGTTGGACTTTTCCTCCTACAAGAATTGTTTGCTTTTATTACTAAAACAAGCGATCATTCATATTTTTTTTAAAAAATGAATAAATATCACCGTCATTTAACGTTGATTGGCGGACTTATTTTTCAGCTCAAGACTTCTTGTTTTTAATGAGAAATTCCGACTAAATGGGGCTCTCAATGGGGGAAACAGTTTTAATATTAAAGTTAAAATTATGGAAATTTCGTTTTAACTTGTTTTTAAGCATAAAATAAAAAGAAAATGTGTTGGTTTGTTGTGTTAGATGTAATTTAATTTCATCTATTGAACTTTAAAAACAGTTTTCTCACTCGTGCCTTCGTCACTCGTGAGAATACTGTTTTTAAAGCCCACTCGATGAAATAAAATTTCATCTTACACACAAACAAACAAATATCCTCTATATCTTACTCGAAAGAAACAAATGAATTTATCACCTCTTTCCTGGCTATAGATCATCTTACAGGCAAACATACGTTGCTGCTTATGATATTTTTATTATGTAAGTTAAATAACTTCTTTTTCATATTTAATTGTTAAAAATAAAACATTCAATGTTCGTTGAAGACCACTTTTAATATGATGTTAAAAATGAAACAATTTGGAAATTATTGTATAAGTCGCATTATTGCAATATTGCTTTGTTTTACTTCGCACCAGCATAGTAAAAAATCTGGAAACAAAGTGATCCCTCGGAAGCATTAATCACAACAAGATTACAAGAGAAACGAACGAGACTCGGTTTGATTGAGTCTGTACATGAGGGATTAAGGTTATATTGCGACTTTAAAGCTTAAGGAAGACTTAAGGTGCCCCTCTGAATATCATTTCAGGCACACGCGGGTACCTGAGTACAGCCACCGACGTTCCGCAAGGGAGATGGGGAAATATTGATGTTTGGTGAAGATAATTTTACTTTTCTCTACCATTAGAAGTCATCCTTTGAAACGCATTTAAGCAAATTAATTATTTTGATGAATCAAATGAAAGCCTGTGAAACCAAAATATATCTAACGTGAAAATTGAGGGAAAATACATTTAACTTTCAAAAGTTTACAACGAACTGTGGTCACAAATTTGTAATTTGGTAATTTAAGGGCATTTGAGCAGCGTTCTGAAAGAAGCTTATGCAACTGTATTAAACATGTAAAAAGTTGTATTTCGATGTAATCCATCGATATTGTTCTCTAATGATTTTATAGTCGAAAATTACAATCATAATTATTATGACTGTATTTTCTATTAATCAAAATGTACATATAAGGAAATAAATGCTAGCCTTGGACACAACAATGGGTGATATTACAGTAATTGTCCAGGTGATCAAAAGTAAATCCTATCAATCTTTGCATGAAGTATACAAGGTGTTACTCTGACTGTTAATGCTTTATATACAATATACGTACCATCTTAAACTCTTCATATATTTTTCTCAGGTTTGTTTTTCTTAAGCATTTTATAACCTATCCTTGGGGCGTGCAAAATTGAAATGTGTTGAATATATTATTAAATATAATAGAAAACTAAATCTGTATAGACGAGTCTTATCGTTCGGTATGTTTTAATTAATGTATTTATATTTAAAATTATTATTATTCAATAATATCTGAATATGGTATTAAGTTTCAGTATGTTATGCAAGTTTTTACATGATAGACCAGACAGAGTGTTGTATTATGACACTGTTCAGTTTGAAAATATAAAAAAAACTAATCAGTTTCCGTTTTCTTAAAGTCTAGATAGGGAATTGCAAAGAAAATTAAAGTTGCTTTTATCCTGCATACTGAAGAGGTAATTACACAAATGTTGTTTATATGCATACTTCAGGGGATACTTGATAGTCAAATAACATATCAAGAACTAAATCTGCTTTTAAACGGAGAAATGTGAATGATAAACTAGCATATAAACACAAAGGGTACAAATAACAAAGGAATAACTATGGAATAATATCTGTTAAAGGGAGACACAGGCAAAATTCTCTTTTTTTCGTTTTGAATTTTTCAATATTTAATCTGTAAATGTCCTTTAAATGAATACACAAGACAGTCACAGGAACAAAACTTTTCTTCTTATAAAGAATAAAATGGTAGTTAACCTAGACTTGCTTCCATTATACAATATCCACAATATCTGTTAATGTAACTTCAAGGGTGTGTTTAAGTCATATGAATTGTTTTAACCCATTTGTGCCGGAATTTTATTTTTATATAAGAAATGTATAAAACATATAGTAACCATATAGTTATAACATATATCCATTTATTTTTCAAATATAAGTACTGTATTTTTTATTTTAGTGTTTTAATATTTTGTCTACAAAAGTAGACAACAGGCGCAAATGGGTATATGTAAAACACATATAGAATATATGTCCAGATAACCTATTGTTGGTTTATTTTGATAACTTTTACTTGAAAAAATCCTTAAAGTTTATACAGGCAATGTTTTCTATTACTTTTCCTACAAAAGTAGACATTAGGCACAGAAGTGTTCACTCTGAAATTCATTCTGAATATGAATTATTATTGTTCATGTCTTTTGGCTTTGATCGTATGAATACCTAAACACTGTGAAACATTTCAAAGCATTTCCTGTGCACTCCAACATTACATTTGGAACATTGTGTCCTGCATTTTTTTCCACACAATGAACAGCGCACTTCTTTTGCTGGCTCTGCGTAATGATTTTTACCATCAAGTCGGATATGGTCTGGAATTCTTCTTGACAATGGCCTCATCCTACCTCTTGGTCTGCCAGGGCTGACAGCAGGTGTACGCCCCTGAGCAAGCAGCACAGTAACCAGAGCTCGTCTGACACCTAACAGATCTAATGGTTGCCTCAATCCTGCATCAGTAGCACGGTAAATGTGCCAGGTTTGCTGCACCGCAAGGTCAATGCAATACATAAACACTGGCCACCACCACTTCTTGGATCTGATAGAGATACGATACTTCTCAACATTTTGATCCATCCTGTCCACACCTCCCATTGTCTGGTTGTAATGCTTTAGAAGGTATGGCTGCGGAAGGCGCACCCTAGATTTTGCCTGCTTTGACCACCGTGTTGCTTGTTGCAATGGTTCAACTCCATGGCAATTTGACACCACATTCACTATATTGTTGTCATTCCACCTCACCACTATCAGACCTTTGTGTGCGTCATACCTTTTATCATAGTTTCCTCGTTGCGTTTTTCCCATGTCTTTTACATTTTTGACAGGACAATCTTCTATTCGGTTGGCACGGATGGTTCCTGTGCAAGATATTCCCATATCTGTAAGCCGGTCCACGAGCTTCAGGAAGTAAATAGATTATCAAAAGTCAGATGGTATGCATCATCTTTCTGCAGCTCTGAAAGCAGGTCCATAACTACTGCTCCGCCCATTCCAAGGAAGCCAGGATCATGGGTTTGGTGGCCTTTTGCCCCTTGATAGGGCTCAAATTGTAAAACATATCCAAGTGCTGTCGTTAACGCCCACATCTTATAACTGAACCTAATTGGTTTCCCACGAATAAACTGTTTCGCTCCGTGTCGCCCATAGTACGGGATCATGCTTTCGTCGATTGAAAGGTTTTTCTCTTTCAAGAAGTATAACAAGAAGCGCTCATTCAGCAGACATAGCAGTGGTCTTACTTTGCTAAACTTGTCCTCTCTGTCAAGATTGTTGTTATCGCAAAGATGTGCATATCGCACCAATATGTCGAATCTGTCTCGCGGCATTGTACGAGCTATTGCCTCATTCCTTACGTCATCATCCCGGCTCCAGAACTGTCTCCGTCTTGGCACAGTGTTATAGCCTGATATAAGCAAAATTGCTAGGAAGATCCTAATTTCTTGGGGTGAAGTTGAAAACGAATGGTTGCCTTTTGAACCAGCATATCTTATACTCTGTTCAACAATCATGTTGATCACGTCATCATCAAAAAATAAGTTGAAGATGCCATCTGGTGTTTGCGGCCATCGACTTTTGTCTATATTTGAGCCATGCCAAGTGAATCTGTCTTTATCTTGCTCAGGTAGATCTTTATTTTCCCACTTCCTCTTTACTGGTGCAGGTCGTTTGGGACGCGGAGCTGGATCCCGTAGTGCAATTCTTACTTGAGGTCTTTTTGCAATATTTGCAGGCACTTCGTATTCATCTGTATCAGAAGAATCTGAAGAATGGTCAGTTTCCTGAAAAATAAAATATGATTAATATAAAAAATCTTATTCTCAACTGGATTTACTGTACATTATTTACTTACTTGCTTCGTATTTATTTATTTATCTATTTATTATTTATTTATTTTATTTATTTATTTTATTTATTTATTACTAACTAGATCGGAGTCTGATGCTGAATCAACAACATGACGTCCATCTAGGCGAATAACTGTCGCTGTTGCTTGTTGGTCTAACTGACTTCCACTGAGGTTGTTGTAACCTACTTCTTCATCTTCACTTGCACTATCTTCATCTGTCAGTTCATCTACAGGAGGTGGTTGAACATGTATATCTGCCCTTTCAAAGTTACCTTCATCCTCAAGCATTGATATGATTTCATTTACTGTGTATCTTCTGTAAACAACAAAATATTTCATAATGATAAAACGTACCCATTTGATCCTATTGTCTACTTTTGTAGACAAAATCTAAATTGACTGTCATAACACATTTTATACATATTTCTGAATTATAAAACAGGAATTGAGCAGAAATATAATTATACAATATAAAACAATCATACTTTATGATATAAAATAAAAACAATATAAAGTTTTACATACCTGTTTCTGCTAGCCATTTTCAATAATATTTTCAAGGCAATTTTTATCACATTCTTGTTGAAAACACACTGCAAATAACGTAGTGGTCTGCATTTTGTCTAGCAAAATAGTCCAATTAACGCTTATCATGACAACAAGTATAGAATAACAATGATAAACAAATGTGCGCTCATAATTAGGTCCTAGTGTACTGATAACTGCTAGTGTCTACAAAAGTAGACAACAGGCGCAAATGGGTTAAAACTGTCGGCGTCTTATTTCCATTCAATATATATTGATATATTTACCCTTCAAACCCAAATTATATAGAATTTATACAGAAATTCATACTAGGACTTTAAAAATTGTGATTTTAGCGTGATTTGAGTACAAATGACCATTTCAATATTTTTATCATTAATTTTCTTGCGTATCCCTTTAATATATATATATATATCAAATGAAAATGAAATGAAAGTTTTGTCATTTACTATGATCAAGAAATATTTAAAATTCAATC